TTTCCAGAATTAACTTTGGGAAAATTGCTTTTTTAGCCAACCTGGTGCTACTCAAAGTACATAGAAGCCTTAGAACAGGAGAGAATTCTTCTTAAAGTCCAAGAAGAACTGGAAAAAAGGTTGATTACAGGTAATTTTTGCTTATAGGTTTACTTTGTTATCTTCTATCACAGATTAATTTTAGAGGACTTTGCAAACGATTAATGTTTTTCTTATTTCTCTTATTTTTGTGCAGGTACATCTCTCACAGGTTTTAAGCCTACTCCTTCACTCACGTCTTTGAAAAAGAATATGGCTATCCTAAGCCCAAGTGAGTTTCCACCAAGTCTGTCTTCAGTTCATTCTTATTGTTGGAGTTGTGCCTCTCACCTGGCCTAGAATATGTAGGGAGGAGGGGATGAGGGCTGGCTCGCCCACACTGTTTTGAGCCCCAGATTAGGAGAATTTCTCTGTGTGTGTATGTTTCCTGCCTCTCTGTCTCTGTCTTCTCTCCTTGGCTGAGGCGGAGAGACTAAGATATATACCTAAAACTTCATCTCTTTTCCAGAGTGACAGCATTTGTGTGAGTGTTTACATCCTGCCGCTGATAAATGCAAGGTAGGTCATACAGTCTGAGAGTTGGTCATTCCCACCCATGTCCCTTTAACACACACACTGATGTACACCCATGCACATAAACCATATGCACATATGTGCCCACTAACAAATAAGTGGGTGGGAGAGGCTTGCCTCCCTTTTGAATGACAGTCTCCTAAGAAGTAAGACCTCTGAAGAGTGATCATATGTTGCTTCTATTTACCCCTTATCTATTCTTCTCTTTCACAAAGAACATGTATGTAAGATATTTCCCCAAGGTTTCCTATATTGGGAATATAAGAAGGAACTGAAAATTTAAAAAGTAACTAAAAATCAAGCCAGGGCCCTTCTCCTGTACAGATACTGATGTGATTATACAATTTTGATTGGATATTAATGTTAGAGTTTAACATGCCTTACAAAGTAGTCTAGAAGTATAATATAGTATATTTGTAGCCCTTTGACCCAGTACTTGAAGAACCCCTTTCTCTTATCTTTTGCTTTTCAGATTAGCTTTTAGGCTTCTCAGCATCCTTAGTTTGCTGGTTCTTGGGAGGGTTTGATGAGTAGGCCTTGATGCTCTTAGCCTCCTCATTCTTGTCTCTTCTGGTCCTCCCTTTCCCTGTACCCTTCTGCTGATTCCTCCTCAGGTCAGCCTCATAGTGCTCCTAACATTGAGGGTGTGCTGACACATCTGTTCACTTTTCCATCATTAGAACAACTCTGTGTACATTCTAATTGTTGTTGTTTTGGCTTTATATTTTCTGTAGATGCTTACATTTTCATCCATTTATTTTTCTTTTGCAGGAATTCTTTAACCCAAATTTAACTGACATGAGAAGCTCAAGTGATTTTTTTTGATGGTCTGTATTAGAGCAAGCCTAGCATCTAAATAAAGTTTGGCTTGTCTTAGTCCTACAGTTTTCAAAGTACAACTATCCTGTATACATGACATACAAGACTATAAAACGGTTTTTAAACATATTTGGAATAAAATCACTACTATCTAGGTTAGAAGAATCAAAATGTTTTGCTTATCACCATCCTTAAGGAAGTCTAATGCTATGCTCCTCAAGTAATCTTTCAACAAATATTCCTTGAGCATTTACTATATTTTGTTAGCAGATATATTCAGCAGGTAATTAGGGGACAAATATTCCTGGCAATAAATTGACCCAAAACATAAAGGGAAGAGCCTTCCCCACCCCATCCCCAACTCTAAAAGAACTGTGTATTAAAGTGAGGGTTCCAATACTTTAGTGTGCTTAAGAATTACTTGTGACATTTGCTAGCAATGCAGGTTCCTAGGCCCTCTCCCTGAGAGTCTGATTCAGTAGTTCTTGGGCAGGACCCAGGAATCTTTCTCTTTAACAGACATCGTAGGTGATTCTGATGCAGGTCTTCCACAAACCAGTCTTTGAGATAAACTGTTAGGGTAGCAAGAAAAGAGCCTCAAAAGGTAAAAGCCCTCTTATTAGCTGGAGCTACACTTGTGGCAAAGAGAACCCAGACATACACCCTCCTATTCTTTCAGGAGAGAATGTGTAAGAAATGACCTGGCAGGATCATCCGTGGGCCTCATGATTTAGGAGCTTGACCTAGATTACCAGATTGGAAGCACTGGACTTCCAGTGTTATATAAACCCAGAAAGTATTTTCGAAGCAGAAACTGCCATTCCAAATTCTCTAAAAAGTTAGACATTTTAAGTGGGGAAGAGATTATCTTTCTTCTAAAGCAGTAGTTTTTGGATACTTTTTTTTTTTAAATCATTGGAGGCTTGTTGTTCCCTGTGCTCACACAGTGCCCCGTACCCTATAGTGGCCGTGAAGTTTGTTAACCGCTTTCCATTCATTGCCCTTGTCCTTCCTTTTTTTGTCTTCCATTCTTGTTTTGCTTTCTATGGTTTTAATTGAGCATTTTATGTAATTCCATTTTCTCTCCTCTCTTAGCATATCATTTATACTTTTAAAAAGTATAAAGTATTTTTCTCATTCATTGCCCTAGAGTTTGCAGTATACATTTACAACTTTCAACTTCATGGATAGTACAAGTACCTTATAATAGAGTATTCCCAATTCCCCCTCCTGTCCCTTATCACACTGCAGTCATTTATTGCACTTATCCATAAGCCATGATCATTGAATATATTGTTATTATCATTTTGAACAAACTGTTAACTGTTAGATCAATTAATAAGAAAAATAAAATATACTAATTTACCTCTATTCCTTCTCTAATGCTTTTTCTTTCTTTATGTAGATTTGAGTTTATATAATCTATATAATTTTATGTATATATATAATTTTATATATAATTTTATAATTTTCATTCTATCTGAAGAATTTTTCAACATTCCTTGCAAGGCAGTTCTACTGGAGATAGATTCTTTCAATTTTTGTTTGCCTTAGAAAGTCTTTATTTCTCTTTCACTTTTGAAGGATAGTTTCAGAGGATATAGAATTTTAGGTTAATGATTTTGTTCTTTCAACACTTAAAATATTTTACTCCACTCTCTTCTTGCTTGCGTGGTTTGTGAAGAGAGATGTCAGGATGTAATTCTTATCTTTATTCCTCTATAGGTAAGTTGTTCTTCCCCTAACCTCTGGCTTCTTTCAAGATTTTTTCTTTGTTTCCAGTTTTCTGCAGTTTGAATATGCTATGCCTAGGTTTAGATTTTTTGGAATTTATCCTGCTTGGTGTTCTCTGAACTTCCTGAATCTGTGGTTTGGTGTCTATCATTAATTTTATAAAATTCTCAGTCATGATTATTTCAAATATTTCTTCTGTTCCTTTCTTTTCCTTCTGGAATTCCCATTACACCATATTTATACCTTTTTTCATTGTCCCACAGTTCTTAAATATTCTGTACTTTTCATTCTTTTTTTTCTTTTTTTTCTTTGCATTTCAGTTTTGGAACTTTCTGTTGATCTCTCTTTCCTTAGCTGTTTCTGGTCTGTTGATGGGCCCGTCAAGGGCATTCTTCATTTCTGTTACAGTGTTTTTAACTTCTAGCATTTCCTTTTGATATTTTTAGAATTTCCATCTCTATGCTTACACTGCTCATCTGTTCTGGAATGTTGTCCACTTTTTAATTAGAGCTCTTACCATGTTAATCATAGTCAATTTAAATTTCTGGTCCAAAAATTCCAACATCTCTGCCTTATCTGAGTCTGGTTCTGATGCTTGCTTTGTCTTTTCAGATTGTTTTTTGTCTTTTTGCATGCCTTGTCATTTTCTGTTGAAGGCAAGACATGTATCAGGTAAAAGAAAATGTAGTAGATAGGCCTTTAGTGTGAAGTGTTATGTTTATCTGGCTAGGGGTTAGGCTGTATTTACTGTTTGCTATAGCTGTGGTATTAGAGGCTGAAATTTTCTCTGTGTCCTAGTTTTTGTCTCCCCTGTTCTTGGGTTTTCCTAGAGACTCTTTAATAGTGCCTGAGGCATGAAGTTCTCTTAGCTGTAATCCCTGTTATTATATAGGAAACCTATTGATATGGTGGTGGGCTATGGGGGGAGGAGAAGCACTTTATAGTCCTATGATTAGGTCCCACTGTTTTATTGAGCCTGAGTTGGGTGTTTCCTTTTCTCAGGTTGTTTGGGCTTTGGTAAAACCCTCCTCTGTTAGGTTTTGATAAGAGTTTCCCTTGAGGGCAGTCCTTGTTAAGAACAGAGAACTCTGGGTGTATTTTAAAATGGTTACTTTTCCTCCCTATGCCAGAAACAGGAGGGGATATTTCTCTGGTCTTCACAGGAGAAACTGGTAGGCCTCCTGGTGGTAAAACTCAAGAAAGTTTGGGGGCCCCCCTAACACTGGGCCCCTCAGAGTTTTTATCTCTCAAGCTTGTATACATTAAGCCTCCAGCAATTGGTCAAATACAAGTTTAAAATGTTCCTGCAGATAATGGCTCCAGCTACAGCCTTTTGCTCCCACTAAGGTATGATTCTCTGTATCTGCCTATTTGTCTCTCCAGTTTTAGTGGCTGCAATTTCTTCTATTACCACGGTTCTTTGATGGATCCAAGAAAAGTTGTTGATTTTCAGTTTGTTCAGCATTTTTCTTGTGGTGAGAATGGTAGTGATGACTTCCACATTCTTTACATGTTGGACTGGGGCCCTGAAGTTTGACACTTGTATTTTAAAGTATTCTGTAGTCAGTTTTATTCTTAAGATAAAATTAAGAAAGGTTAATTTATTAAAGTTTTTATTGTGTTGTATATATTAAATTGATGATCATTTTTATTTTTTTTATTTTTATAACTCCCCAGTTTATTTTGAAAACAATCTTTTCTGACATATATTCATATAAATTTGAGATTATCTCAAAGTACATAGAAAGTACCTATATTTGCCTATAAATTTATTAAATGCTGATGAATGCTTATTAACATACCAATATTTAAGCATGCCAACATAAGAGAACTTTTTGCATCATTTTTTTCCACCTAAGCCAATTTATATTTGACATTTGGATTACATGTGCATAAAAAACAGACATATTCCTCAATTGACCCTAGATAAACCAGCATACAGGTGGCCTTCTTTCGGTATATAATTAAGTTTTCAGAGGCAGATTGGTTCAAATGGGAGCAAATGAGCTGACTTCCTCATTGAAATAAACTAGACAAAAATCAAGAAGTATTAAAGGTGCTAAAGATCGCACAAATCTTTTTCTTTCCTATATTTTAAATGCATAAATATGCATTATGGGTATGTGTGAATTAAAACACTTCTAATCTAGACTGTGAATTCCTTCAGAGGGGGCTACTGTCAATCAATAAAAGGCCCTGGAGCAGTGAGAGAGGGAGCACAGGGGAGCAGAGAGCACTGTCCTTCATCAAGCTATCCACATAAACTTACACAGGCAGTAGACTAGATTATCTAAGTCTCAAGAGGCTTAGATGATGACCTGGGCCTTCAAGTGAGGTTTTACTTCATTGTGTTTTATTTTGTTGTTCTGTATGTTGTTAGTTCCACTATTTTTGTAATTGGGGCAAAGTAAGAGGATCAACTAGTCCAAGAATGCTTTCTATACCCCATAAACTGTCTGAATAAAAGATTTTTTTATTTATTCTTCTGCCAAACACAACTGATTTCCATCAAAATTATTTTTTAAGATAAGAAACAGTAAGTGAACTGAAGAAAGAGCTGGGTTCATGGAACATTATTACATTTCAGCACACTGAGAAGTGCAAAGCCTCAGGGTGGAGTCTAGTTGCTGTTCGCTGCAGCAGGGAACAGACCCAGCCTCAGTGGGCCTTCTCCAAGAATGCTCTGCAGCACCTGACACATTACTGGTATGTCATCTTGAAGTCAGAGTTATTCCCATAATAAGGATCTTTAATAATAAGTTGTTTTTGTGGATCATAACTCCCAAGTAGTTCAATTTTAGCTTTGCAGTTTTTAACTTGATTAATTTTTCTATTCAAATCTCTCAGATTGCTTTCATCCACACATACTATATAATCAAATGTGGCTAAGTCATCTTTGGTAATCTGCCAGGCAATGTGGCCTCATGGGAACGCTGTGCCTCCGCATGCAGCTCTGCCCCTGGTAGTCAGGGGAGTTCCCTGTCTCATACCTGGATGTCACGGAGCTGTCTATCCTCCAGTTCTCTGAAATGTTTTGATCAGTTACAGTTTCCTGAAAACTGCTTCTGCAATGGGTGACCAACAAATATTAGCCAGACACACAAACAGCACCAACTTAGATACCAGCTCTGCCATCTTCCTGTGTACTGATGGTAATTTTTATATTATAAATATTTACATGTTCATTTTTGGGATACCCTCAAAGCATTTCTCAGCATGGACTCTTCCCAGTTTTTGTCACTAGAGGCAATTTCCTTGTATTAGTGTGCCCAGGAAGTATCATCTGTGGTTCTACTGATTCTTCTCAGTATCTCTTAAGTGCATCTTCTCCTCCTTCCCTTTCATTATTGGATGATTGCTTTATTCCAGATCCTCATCACCTTGGATCTGAGTCCTAATTAATATCTCTTTCTCCTGCCTGGTCACCTTCCAACTGTCTTGAGAGTGATCTTTCTAAAATGCAAACCGTATGGTATTCCCTTATCAGAATCCTTCATTGAGATTGTCATTAAACCTGTTATTGGTAAAATAGAAGTTCCTTATTTAGTATATCATATGATAAGGCCCTCCTATCTGATACGAACATTCAGATCAGGCATTTGTTCCTCTGGGAAGCTATCTTTGATATTCTTTTCTCACCCCGGATCCCCCAAACAGCTACAGAAATTATCCTCCTCCTGTCCTATCACTATAGCTTGTTCACTACACTATAAAAATAGTTTTAGTCGCACTGATTATAATTTACATGCCTGTATACCCTAATATACTTGTTATTTGACTTTTGACTTTTCATTCTAGCACCTTACATAAAACATCTAAAAATAGATGTTCATTAAATATTTGATGGAAAAAAATGAAGGAAATATCTCCACTATAAAATTCTAAGAAGGTAAAAAATCACTGCTCATCTAAGAAAGTTAAATAATATTATTCACAAAAATTTGCCATAGGCTGGGCGCGGTGGGTACCATTTATGTAAGTTAAAATATATATAGTCGGGCGCGGTGGCTCACGCCTGTAATCCTAACACTCTGGGAGGCCGAGGCGGGCGGATTGTTTGAGCTCAGGAGTTTGAGACCAGCCTAAGCAAGAGCGAGACCCCGTCTCTACCAAAAATAGAAAGAAATTAATTGCACAGCTAAAAATATATAGAAAAAATTAGCCGCGCATGGTGGCGCATGCCTGTAGTCCCAACTACTTGGGAGGCTGAGGCAGTAGGATTGCTTGAGCCCAGGAGTCTGAGGTTGCTGTGAGCTAGGCTGACGCCACGGCACTCACTCTAGCCTGGGCAACAAAGTGAGACTCCGTCTCAAAAAAAAAAAATTTGCCATTAGTAATTTTTATAAATACATGTGGCAATTTTATTTGAAGTGTAAAATCTTAGTTCTGTCTACATTATTTTTCATGTCTATGAAAATACACCTATGTTCCATGTCTCTCAGAGAAGAAATCAATATCCTTATTAAATCACTTTAGGCCAGGGGTTCTCAACTTCAGCACAATTGACATTTTTGCCCAGATAACTATTTATTATGGGGGGCTGTCCTGTGCATTTTGGGTGTTTAATAACGTCCCTGGCCTCTTACCCACTTAGGCCAGTAGCATCTCCCCTGTTGTGGCAACTCAAAATATCTCTAGATATTTTGCCACATCATCCCTAGTTGAGAATGATTGTTGTAAACTTATGGGCATTTTTATATTTTGTTTTTTGAAATCCCTTATGGCAAAGGAACCTTTAAATTCTAGCTCTCTAGCATATACTTTTTAAAGTACCATACCCGCTAGCTCTGTAACACTATCAACAGTACCTTCTAAATCAATGATGTCTCATTTGTTTTGTGAGTGTCTATATTACATCCACTTGAATAATTTCTTTTACATCATCTTTGGAAGCATAATGCCCAAACGAGATGCTCAACCAGTGTTTGTTGATTTAATAAAACTTAAATTCCTTACTTATGTTTAGTGTAGTGTATACTATATGTTTTAGATCATCTTAAAAGTGTCCTTAAATCTGACTTGGGTGTGTACAAATAAATAAGTAAATAAATTCTAATTGTGCTATATTTTTGCATCTGATGTGAGTCTTAATTTTATGAGTTCTCAGTGAAAAGACAGCTAACTTTTGGAAGATTCCTAAGTTTTAAAAACACACAAATTACTACGTATACTGTATCAACTTATATTCTTCAAAACATGGGAAAATTGAGCTTGTACACAGTTTACATTCTTATTTGAGGTGAATAAATGTATTTTAGATAAATGCAATAGTGAAGTAATCCAAAAGTAATTCAGCCAGTTGGGTCAGATTCATCTTGTGTATATTATTTTTTTAATAAGCAAATTTAGTATTAAAGGCATAACTTAATTCATATTATATTTTTTAAATGTGTATCTTTATCATTTGTCACATAATTGGAAATTATAGTACATAATCTGCATTTTCTTTTTTATTTGGCACAGCCTTTTTAAAATTACAGTGAAATTTCTGCCTCAAAAAATATATTAGATGGTGTATATCCACTGATTTAGTAGAATTTGGTTATAGTCCTGGATCTGTTTCTGCCTTTCTGATTCGATTTGAGGCCATTTATTTAACCTCTGTGAGTCTCAGTTTACTTATGTATAAAGAACTCAGAGTCCTTTTTTAGATCAAATATTATGTGATTCTACAAGTTTTAATATTGGAGCTTTTTAATGTGTAACTGTCTATAGAGTTTTGTGGTCTATATTTCAATGAGCAATGATTTTTACATTTTGAGTTAGAGTCTTAGATGAAATTTTTCTGAAAAGAATAATTCAACTTCTACACTGTTTCCTTTCCAGAATCAAATACTTAGGGCAGCAGTCCCAACCTTTTTGGCATCAGGGACTGGTTTCATGGAAGACAGGAGGACAGTTTTTCCACAGGCTGGGTGCGGGTGTGTGTACAGCGGATGTGGGGGCAGCGGAGCTCAGGCGGTGATGCGCGGCCTGGTTCCTAACAGGCTATGGACCAATACCGGGCCACAGTTGGGGGGTTGAGGACCACAGACTTAGGGTATTGCCCGGCCTGAAATAGTTACGGTTTTAGCAACCTCTTCTTTATTGTTATTACTATAAAACTAATGTATATGCTAATGTCTGTCTCATAGGTAGATAAGACTATGTGACCAAGTTCAGGCTAAGGGGATGTGAATAAAAGTGTACAATATCCATTCAGATCTTTTAAAAATGAAAATATATGCCAGCTATTTTCTCTCTTTCCCGTTCTTGTAAGCTGGATCACAGCTGTGATGCTGGCATTCAAGCTTTCACCATGTAGATGGAACACCTAAGGAATTATGGAGCCTGGGTCTCTGGATGACCTCATGAAGGAGAGCTACCTTGCTCTGGACTGTTATGTGAGATAAAAACAAACTATCTTGTCCAAGTCATTTTATATTCATGCCTTTTTGTTATAGAAGCTTATCTTATACTTTAATACAAAAATTGCTACCAGGAGTGGAGTACCACCATAACAAAAATCTGAAATATGTGGCATTAATTAAGCAGTCAGTGGGCAGCAAGGAAACAGACAATTGCAGTCTAGAAAGCTGGCGACCTTTGTAATATCATGGCAGAATATTTGGTAAAACCATTATTTCTGATAACTTGGAAGGCAGACCATGTGTCTCCTGTGCCCACAGCTTGTTAAAGGAAGAGGTAAAACAAGATAAGAATGTTTGTGCGTGTTTGTGTGTTAGTTGCTTGTTGCTGCTTTTACCAAGGTTCCATGAAAGTTAAATCAGGCAAAAATTAACCAGTTTATAAGTATAAATGGAAGGGAACACTGCTTAACTAAGGGGATGCACACACTCTGATGTGGCTTGCAGTTCAAAATTGATGTAAAATCTAGTAACTGGGAGCCTCAAAGTTGAGAAAGTCAGTTACAACTATTCCCCATAAACTAGAGCCTTTGGTCACTTTCCTTTCCAAAAGTTTCTCATTAAGACTTTTCATCTGGACAGTGGCAGCCCTGTAACAAAGGTCAAAGTAAAGGTGTTGTCATCCTAATCTACCCTATTATTTTAGATGACCTTAAAATAGCCACCAATAAAATAATAGGAAAATGAGCTAAGCACAAAAGCAAATAAATAAAATAAGAAAGTTGGCAGGCTTAAGAACTATGACCAGAAGAGATTTAGACATGGAACTGACTGGTAGTAAATAGACTGAAAGCTTACTAAAATTTTAATGGAATTGTACTCTTAGAGCAAAACCATAAACCTGGCAAGAAAGTGCCTGTAATTTTTCAATCTCTAAGATAACCACTAGGCCCCCAAATTTGCATCATCAGAAAGCTGTGAAAATTGTACAGCCCCCAAAGAGGTCCACTCTCCAACATCAACTTCAGATGTGGCTTAAGGAATAATAGAGAAAAATTTTCCCAGAGGCAAAGCCAAGGGCCCCAGAGGACTATGGACAAGGGAATTTTCCCCATGAAGTAGGTTCAGTATCTAACAAGGTATCTTCACAATCCCTGCCTAGAAGATGAATTGTGACTACCATGCGTTGCCCATTCTTCCTTTTCCAAACCATCATAATCATACTGTTTCTGTTCTCTGCTCTGGTTTATGTAAATATCATCTGTCTTAGTCTGTTTTGTGTTGCTATAACAGAATACCAAGGACTGGGTGATTTATGATGACAGAAATGTATTTGGCTCACAATTCCAAAGGCTGGGAAGTACAAGGTCTAGGGACCGCATCCTGCGAGGTTCGTCCTGCTGCATTATAACATAACAGAAGGCATCACATGACAAGAGAGCACACATGCCAGAGAGAAAAAAGGGAGCCAAACTCCTTCTTTTATTAGGAATCCATTCTCACAACAACCCATTCCCACAATAATGGCACTAATCTATTCCTGTGGACAGAGCCCTCATGACCTAGTCACCTAAGGTCCTACCTCTCAATGTTGTTGCATTGGGGATTAAGTTTCCAACATATGAACTTTGTGAGACACTTTGAAACCATAGTATCATCTCATCAGCTTTCTACTTTATAAGTATTGTCAAAATTTCTGGCCCACTGATGATTTCCTCTCCCATCCTTAACAGTGTTATACATTCATTCTCTTTGTGTTTCTTTTTTACCATGCCTATGGGATGTTCGG